TACATCAAAACATTGAAACGGACGGAGCTTTGAAATGCGGCGCTAAAGCTCACTGAGTCAGTGAAGCGCCGGACTAAAAGGAAAGACATCTGGTATTTCACCAGCTGACGTCAGAAAGATGTTGGACTCAGACAAACATTAAATTTTGATAGAATAAAAATCAGATTGACAATATTTTAAATGTCTAACGATGTTGGAATTTTACGTCATGTGTTTTTAGCATGATGATGTTCTTCAACCGTACGACTACATGTTTTTATTCTACGTCCAGATGACACTGGCATGGGGCGTTCGGAAGACGTTGGATTTTGGTTACTTAACAACACAACTTAAAACCAACAAACTCTCAGCTTCATCTGACATCAGTTTGAAGTTGGCAGTAGACATTCTGACATTGAATTTTGGTTACTCAACGTCACAACCTAATCAACCAAATATCAACGTTTGAGGATGTTGTTGGCAGCTGGGTCACGATAAATGACGTCCCTGACTGAACGCCATCTGAGAGGCAAACACTGTACTTTTTACTGCGCTCTGTGTGTCTGACAGCCTCAGTCCTCGTCCTGCAGTAAAGATGTGAATCCTTAAATTAAAGCTACCTGTGCAGATGTATGTCTGCAGGCTTATTCAGCAACACTCCGCTGCTCTTTGTTCATTAAAGCCTCCCAGTGTCTGTAGCTTTTTGTCTGTTTGGTTGTCTCATTATGAAGATTACTGCCTAAATTGATTTCCCTTTATCTCCTCAGTTAAAAAGTCCCTTTATTTCAGAGCCTGTGAGCATTAATGTTATCGTCATGAGAGAAAACTGAAGCTCTCGTCTTGTATTATCACAAATTAAAGTGCCTTTAGTTGAATTTGTGCCGTGATGAAGGCAGCTCCAGCTTTTTGTTATTATTCCAGGCAGTAATATGATTTTCTCTCTGATAGATAATACACCATTCCTGCCAGTTTGTGTGAATTAATTATTACGTTTAATTAACATTGCCATCACAGTTCTGTGAATACTTTGATCCACTGCAGCAGGTTCTGGAGCTCATTACGTGAGTTTGGACTGATATTCACAGTGTTCACCTCCAGTGCAGCGCCTGTTGTTTAAAAGTAAAAGCTCCCAAACAAATATGAGAGTGGAACATTTCCCCCTTATGTTACTTTATAAATGAACATTTATTATCATTGCTGCTGAACAGTTTAAAGCTTCATTCAGGATGATGACACTCGAAGTCGAACTTGAAAGCTGGGACGCTTTGTATATCTGAAAAGTTTTCTGTTTCCTCTTCAAAATGTTGGTTAAAAACGTTGCCATCTGTCGGGGGTTAATACCAGAATGTATGGGGCGACTCAGGAGATAGAGCAGAAGATTGGCGGTTTGATCCCTGGCTCCTCCAGTCTGCGTGTCGAAGTATCCTTGGCTGTTCCATCGGTGTGTGAACATGATTGAATGGTTACTGAGTAGCAGGTAGCACCATGTATGGTACCCTCGGCCACCAGTGTGTGAATGTGTACGAACGGGTGAATGTGACTCGTCCAGTCCATTTACCATTTACAAGTCTGCCTGTCTGGAGGGTAGGGGCACGTAACCCCCGGGGGAAAAGATGACGAAGTGCAAGGCTCCACATCCAGGGGTGTGTGGACACTGCAGGAAAGGCGATAGACCCTGTTCGCCGATGTCCCACCCTCCCTCTGGTTCTTCTAGCGGAAGAGCAGATCACATCCCCTGACCTCCTAACGGACGGACTTGTTCTTCCTGGCCGTCCACTTCAGCACTTATTCAAGTCAAAGCATCAACATTTTAAATCAATATTTTAAAGTGGAAACAGACGACTTTTCAGCGAGCTAACACTAGCTAACACTTGTCAATCATAAGGCTGGGGTGTTGTCGTACAGTTTCCATGGCAGAAGATTGCTCTGCGTTCCTATTGGTCAAAGTGACGGCTCTGAGAAGTCGTGGACGACAAGAAGAAAATCAAACATGCTAGACTTTATGTTGGAATGTCATGAGGCGTCCCAGCTGTGCCGTCAGTTCTTGTCTACTATGAAACACTACATGAGCTGACACTGTACAGCGTCAGGCTGTAATCAGGCAGATATCTTGTTGTATGAACCCGGCGTTGGCCTGTTAGCTGATGCGTGGAGCAGGTTGGGGTGTTGTCATTGGGAAAAACGCTTGTTCGCATGGTGTCCAGTTAAGATGAGGCGTGACTGTGCTAATATGCTGATGTTAGCAGTTAATGTTAACGACGTTTAATTAGCAGCAAACAAAGGGACGTTCTGACCTGATGGTGGCGCCAGAGGAAAGTCTGAGGAGTCATGAGGCCTCAGTGACCTCTGAGAACTGAAGATGAAGTTTTTGATTATTTTTCCAGGCAAAATTTGACACTTCATAAATATATTAGTTGATAATGAAACTAAAAGTTAATGTCTGTCTGATATTGTTTCAGCACATGAGCCAACGACCCAGAGCGTTCATGTATTTTCTTTTATTTTACTCACGTAATGTTAATCAGTTTATATTTATGACACTTATTGTGCAGCTATTTTGATAATCTAATAATCATTTTTAGTAATTTTTTAACATTTACTGATGTCATGTTCCTTAAATGTGAGACTTTAATGCTTTTCTTTCTCAGACATGATGATAAACTGATCAGCTTTAGATTATTGGTCTGTTGGTCAGATAAAACAAACCATTTAAAGGGAAACGAGACAGCAAGACATGTTTCACTATTTTCTGACTGCTGATTAACAAAATCATTAATTGAAGAACCAAGAAAATATTGGGCAAATTAACTGATAATCAAAATAATTACTAGTACACATTTCTTTTGTGTGCACATTTGATTTCTGCACCTGATAATCTTTATCATTTATATTTGGTTTGCACTCTTTCCCTCTTTGTTTGGCAGCTGCTGCACAACAACTTTCCCTGAGGACAAATAAAGTTTTATCTTATCTTAAATGCTCACATTTATGTAGATGCATTAACGATCAGCCCGTCTCCATCATGATGTCCGTTACTCGTTACTTGACTTGATTGCAGAAGAAAAGAGTCACTGAACCTGCAACAAGAACTTTAATCTGTGACTTAAATACCCACTTTACATATTTAGCACTTTAAATATCCCGTTAAAATCACTTCACAGCATTTTGATATTAAATCCAAAGCAGTAAACGTTTTTATAGACGCTTCAGAAATCATCATTATTTTTTTACAGGCGGACTCCTGGTTGTATTTCAGAGCCCCACCCTGTTAACACCACCCACACACACACACACTGTGTCAGCCCGACAGCAGAGCTGACAAATGTCTTTTTAAACTCTTCTATGTTTTTAGTGACAATATAAAAACCATCCGCCCCCTCTGTGTTAAACTTCAGTGACTGTGGGAAAACTCAGAGAAGAAGAAAGCAGATGGACTCAGAACTGTTAAACGTATGAAAAGCAACAAGTTGTGCAATAAAATATGTGCTACGGTGGCCCCCGAGGGTCACAGTCAGATTTCTCTTTGTGTTTTCCCTCACAACTTATTTTGAGTTCTCTTGCAATACATTTTTCACTCCCTGGCAACATCATCGTGTTGTCTCAGGCGCCCTGGCGTGAAGTTACACATTTCAGCTGTGGACGGACGGCCCAGCTTGTTTTAGTTTACTCTCACTAATAATTATATAACACTGCTTATTGATCAGCTGATCATACTGGGTACAGACATGTGGCTGAGAGGGAACAAAAGAAGGAACATATTTTGGGAGCCTCGCCGTGACCCCTGGGGGACTCCGTACAGTCCCTCTCAGAGCTGTCACCTGGTTTTGACCTGTAATCCGAGTGCAACCCTCGAGTCATTCCTTCAGGATTCAGCACAACTAATTAGATTACAATTTTGAGGTACTTTTACTTTACTTGAGTACTTGTAATTTATGCCACTTTATACTTCTACTGCACCACATTTTGGAAGCCAGTATTTTACTTTCCAGTGCACTAAACTTTTATTTGATATTAGTTGGTTTTGCAGATATAAATCCTCTTATATATTATCTATTAGTGTAGATTAAGAAACCAGCAGCTTATCCAGTAATATAATACATATAATTCTTAAACGGGTCATGGTGCATAATTAGAACTTTTACCTTTGGCACTGTAAATACATTTTGTGCTAATACTTCTGTACTTTTATTTTGAAAGTTTGAATGCAGGATGTTTACATGTACCAGAGTATTTGTACACTGTTGTATTACGACTTTAAGTCTCTAGCTCCTTTTACACTGCCAGATTTTCGGCTAATATTGGGCCGTTTTGCCGGCGAGCTGCGAGCGTTTAGACACACAGAGCCGGATTGGCGAGTTGATCCGAGGTGCCCAATTTTCCGCCTCGTAGGGTAGACATATTGGTGGAACCCTTTTAGTTTAAACAGACCGAGGCGGCCTTCCGCAACGGGAGGGGCTGTTGATGACTTGTGGGAGGAGCTGTTGATGACGCCGCACGTGCGAGCCACTGGCGGTGGATAAACAGGAAACAGCTGATAGCAGGAATTAGCGAGCAGCTAGTAGCAAGAGGGAAACACAAACCTGACAGACACTGTAAAGATGAGCAACTGGGGAGACAAGGAATTGCGCGCCCTCCTTGTCCTCGCAAACGAAGAGGCCATTAACCGTCAGATGACGGGGACGGTGAAGAACGGGCCGACTTACGAGAGAATCGCCGAAGGACTGACCAGCCGCGGCTTCCCTCCCACGTCACTGTTTACGTCACACGCTGAGCTACACGTTTTGTTACTTGCTCACGCCCCCCATTGCCCCGAAAAAGGCACATTCTGTATAAACAAAAGTAGGTAGGCGGCATTTTGCTGCACTCCCCGATTTTGTTTTTATACTGCCAATGCTGAAAAAAGACTGATTGGGCTTTCCTGTAAATTTGCACAACTCCTGTTTAAAAAGGGCTACTGATTACTTCCTGTGTCACTGACCCAAACTGGTTTTTAATAACCTGTGTCATGTTTTGTGTTTCAGGAGAGTGAGGTGTTTGATGTCATCAGAGATCAACAGGTGTGAACACTGATCAGGTGAGAGAGAGTCACAGCGACTTTCATAATGAAATCTAACTTCCACCTCTGAAAACAAACAAAATACTTTTTCCTTTGAAAGTATTTTCTCCTCGTCCATCTTCCCTCTCTTCGACTCTTTTCACACAGTATTCAGATCATTTTCCGTCCTCCCCTCCCCCGCTGTCATTAGAAACCATTGTGGGTTCCCATGAACGCCATTGGCTGTTTATTTTGGCAGCTGCAGCTTCTTCTGTGGTTTTTGTGTGTGTGTGTGTGTGTGTGTGTGGGTGTGTGTGTGGGGGGGGGGTTTAGGGGTTAATTGGAGGCTTCAGGCCGTTTTTTAAGTGATGAATTGTTGGTGAGACCCTGCTGCCCCTCGTACACACACTCTGCTCACATATCAGCCAATTACTGACACTCTACTCACACACACACACACACACACACCTCTCCGTGTCTTATTATACCGCTCCTCTCCTTCTGTTTGACCTCCATGAAGCTGTGATACACAAACACAATGTTGTTCTGAAGCTGTGGTACAATGATGACAGTGGGCTCAAACACACGCTGCACGGAGACAGAAGAACTTTACGACCTGTTTTATCCAAGGAAATATGTTCTTACTGCGTGGTCTAACACACACACACACACACACACACACACACACACACACACACACACACACACACACACAGATGGAGGCTATAACTCATGTAGGATGAGGAGTTATGAAGTGTTGTTGATGTCAGCCCTTTTTTCATTGTGTGTTTATTGAGGCTTTGTCACCAGATGAAGGGTGTGGTCACAGTTTGGTGTGTTTGTGTCGTGACCACGCCCAGCTGAGACGGCGCTCTGTGCATAGTCAGTGCCACGGTGCATTGCTGCTGGGAAAAACCAGCATGTGTATACCAGTGGTTATCAGGGTGAACTGCATCATTAGACTGTGTGAAGTTTGACTTTAGGAAGGTGAAATATTCCATCGTCTCTCTGTGTCAGTCTGTGTCTCCTCTCTACATTGGGGTCTGTGAACGCAGCACAGGTGCAGCAGTTTGTGGAGTTTAAGTTGAGGCGTGGTTTGGATAATTGATCAGTCGATCTGCTCAGAGCTGATCAGATGGATGGATGAGAGGAGCGGCTGCTGCAGAGGCCAGTGAAGGCAACATGTTATGCCTCCGTGCCAGCAAGAGCCGTGGCTGTCACATTCTTGTCAACACATTGTCTCAAGAACACGTCAAGGAAATTTCTTTAGTTTTGGCACAAATGTCCACTAGTACTCAGCGATGAACTGATAAGTTTTAGTTGCTCATTGGTCAAAGGTCAAGGTCACTGTGACCTTGTCTGTCTCATTCTTGTGAAAACAATATCTCAAAACGCTTGAGAGACTTTCTTCAAATTTGGCACAAAGGTTGACTTGGACTCGAGGATGAATTGATTAGATTTTGGTGGTCAAAAGGCAAAGGTCACTGTGACCTTGCATCTCTCTCATTGTCATAAACGCAAGTCTCAAGAATGCCTTGAGGGACTTTCTTCAAATTTGGCACAAAGGTTAACTTGGACTCAACAATGAACTGATTGGACTTTGGTGGTCAAAGGTCAAGGTCATTGTGACCTTGCATCTGTCTCATTCTCGTTCACAAGATATCTTAAAAACACCTTTAGGGACTTTCTTCAAATTTGGCACAAACGTCCACTTGGACTGAAGAGTAAGCTGATTAGAACTTTGTGGTCAAAGGTCAGTGTGACCTCACAAAACATGTTTTTGTCCATAACTGAATAATTCATTCACTAATTCTGACCAAACTTGACACAAATGTCTAACAGGATAAAATAATGAAGGTCAAAAGGTCAAAGGTCAGCTTGACTGTGACATCATCATGTTTTAACGTCATATCTCAGGAACAGAAGGGGAGACATTTGGTCAGATACTGAATTGGTGACTCTAATCTTGAAACTGTGCTGATTGTATAGATCTTCTGTGTGTGAAGC